CAAGAACGGTACATGTAAAAGTTGGTAAGTGGTGATCGATTTCGATTGGACACTCCAATCATCATCAGACCCAATAGGCGAATCAGATTCGCTCACCACTTACATGTATTTACCGTCTTGTAAGTCAACAGTATAAGTGTAAATATATTATTGCAAGTGTTATTAGACGTATATATTTCTATATTTTTCAGGAAACTGAAGTATACATCCCTTAAGCAAGGATAGATAGATCCTTTCAGTCTCGCTTGGTTGTCAAGTTGGGGTTTCCGAAAAAAATCAGTAATTTTAGCACACTCCGTTGATAACTCAATCCAACTACTAAAATTACAACTTTAACATTGGAATGTAATGTCTAGTTCTTTCTAACCCAAAGGTGGTGTAGGGCCTATATGAACCCTAAAATGATAGACTGAGATGCGTTTTAAGCTGATGCTGGGGCATACTTTGTGCCACACTTTGGTGATCTGGTTATGCGATTCAACTTCCTGACCAAATCGTTCATGTTGGAAACATTAACTGAACACATTATTTAACCAAGAGGAGACAATTTACCGCAGTTCACAGGCCCTAAGAGCCAGCTTTGATGAGAGTTTGATTAATTAAAGCATTATAACACTGGAATACGTGGATTGTTCAACATATTGAATATTTAGTATATAAGACAACTGGACACAACGTGAACTAAGATTTGGATTAATAATCAACAATAAATGACGGAATGAATGAAATAGTGAATTTGACTAGATGATCTGAAATAACATATTATTAAAATACTATTACTACGACACAATACCTCAAGGGGGCGTCCCCCCGTATCCCAACGAATTCACCCTTCCATTCTTGAAGACAGCAGACACACGACAGAGAGTTAGTTCACTGCTTTTACCCGCCTGCTCCCTGTGCATGCGCGAGCTGCTCTGGGGTTGAGATTAGGCGGGACATTTAAATAGTTGCTGTGCTGTGGAGATTGACTCCACAAGATGGCTCTTTTGTAACTAACGTTTGGATTTAAAGATCAAAATAATTTTCTGACTCAACTTGAATGTTTAGAAATTCTTTTCCTCTCAATGACTTGTCCGGTCCTTTCCTGTATAAGATTACAAAGTAAATGTTGATCTTCTAGAAAACGTTAAGGTTCAGGCAATTTAATGTCATTTAGTGTCAAATTTCCTTTGAAACGGGTGAGATAGAATAGTTTTAAATCCCTTGTTATTTTTGCATTGATATGTGTCTGTGAGAATAAAGTTTAAATGTTACAAGTTGTCAACAAGTTGACAAGAATTTTTATTAAAAGAATGCCAATAGTAGGAACAATTATTCGAGCATATCTAAAGACTCAGAATGAATTTCCAGATTCTGGTTTCTGTGGTTAAAGACAATCAAGTTTCTCAGTAGATGACCTGACCTGTCTAGGACCTAAATCTCTGCCTATCTATGAATTAGTATTTTCATACACTTTTCCTGCCTTTCAAAGCTTTTATAATGTTTTAGATAGTTTAAAACAACAAACTGAGTTGTTATTAGAAATTGTTTTGTATATAAGTATATAGTAGTATAGGATAGCCATGAATAAATAGCTACCGGTAATACAATTCTTGATTTGCATAGTAATGATAACATTTGTTCGTGGCATTTTATTTACTGCCCTTATTCTCAGAAGTCAAATTTTTCGGTGAATTTCAATTTTACTATTTGCTAGCAGCATCTTAAAAATTATTTGTGGTTTAGAGTATAGGATACAGTTTTTCATAAACATTTTTTTCAGTGATAAATTTTTGGAAGGATAACTGTTGGTTAATTTTGAGGACTTTGAAATGCTATAAAAGCAATCGATTGAGTGGCTTGGATAGTACAAGATATTTTTATAAATTGGTTCAAGTTATTTTGAACTTCCAAGCCCTGATTTTGAAAAATATTTTAATCGTAAACATAAATCTATTCAAACATTTCAGTTATAAATAACAAGTCTATCACATTTAGTGTATTTGAAAAAAAGCTAATGGTCTAGTAGTAGATTTTATTTTAAAATCTCAATGCATGAGCTAAAAATGTAAACGCAATAATATTTCTACGCTAAATTTGTATTTACTTTTATTTGAATCAGTATTATAATGAACTAGATGGAAATGAGTGGATGTTTTTATATATTTATAAGTGAAATATTGTTAGTTTTCTGAGCACAGTTACTGTTCTTTTTGAGAATATTTTGTGCATAAAACAGTAAAAGTAACACTTGCTTTAGTAGTGGTGCTTTGATGAATCCCTGAAATGAACAACTCAAATATTATCGTAACAAAATTATTGAAACTCCATAACATTTTTAAAAAAATCAACCCAGCGGCTTTTCCTGTATATTTTGATTTTGATCTATGATTATCAAAATGAAAACAGTGCTAAATTTATTAGTCTCAAATTGTGAGGTTTTTATAGGTTAAAAATATGTAGAGTTCTTAGTTGGCTAATTTAATGGCTTTAATTTGGTATATCAAATTATTAAAGCAAAAAAAAACTTTGTTATTTAATCAATATTGTTCTAGAGCCATCTCAATTTATAAGCTTTACACAATTCAAATAGCTTGATTATAGAGAAATAGATTGAAATAAAATAAAAATTTGTGATTAAATTACGGCTCAAGAACTAACTCACTTACCCACAGACGAATCAAGAACTTCAATGACGAGTTGTGAACTTAAAACATAGTAAACAAACCATCAAGGCACGACTCGATAAACTTTTTTTAAGCTAAACACTTTTTAGAAATTTCTTTGTGGTGTTGATAATTGTGTAATTTTTATATTTTATAAACGTTTTCAAGACATTTATTAGATGCTTAGCAATATTTTTAAGTAGGTTTAGTTGGGCCATGGAGTTACCAATCTCTTTATATGCGGAATAGTTACGATTAGTTATTGTCTGGCGTTACACTGTAAAGATATTGTGTTCACTTATAGTAGACAATATTACTTCTGTGGCCACTGTTAAATTTCATTAGCATAATTTATACACAATAATATAGAGAAATATAGGCCTAATCGCAGAAACCTGTTTGTGTCAACTGTACAAATGTCTCATATGTAAAAAGTTTTCTATCGAGTTTGTTTTCTTCTCCGTAAAGGGTCGAAGGTTATTTTTTGTGATATCGTAAAGTTGTAAATACAAGTGTAGATAGTTTATACAAACGCTTGATTTTATTATATTGTTACATAGATGTAGAGTTCGACACTAATAATGTTATTGCTGATATTTAGTTTAAACGGTCGGTTGTGATATTGATATTGTAAATATATTTATAATATATTTAATAATTTGGTTACCAATAAAACCTTATACTGGATGCTTTTCAACTCATTTCATTACTTTTTCATCTGATTGTTTCCTTTTTTTACCTAGAATATGTTAAAGCCTTGAAAGATTTGTTTCAATCAAACTACTAAATTTAATCATTTTATAAGAGCCCTTATCATCTCAATGAATTATAGTTAGATGTTTTTTTTTAGAATTTAATTAATTAAACTATTTACTGAATCATTTGTTATGTAGAACGTATTAATAGTCAAAGTTAGAACAAACACATGAGTCCTCGTTTTATCCTGCAACTAAAATCTTATAATTAAAAGAAATCCTCAATATATAATATTATATTTATATATTTAGTAATTTAGCATACAAAATATTTTGTTTTAAAAATATTTTCGTAAGCCTATTGATAAATGTGTTAATAAACACAAAAACTAGATAAAAATCCTGATCAAACCCCGTTAAATTTTAAACATTTAGTTTCCCTACCGGTGTAATTTTCATTATTACTGTATATAAAAAAAATAATGTAAGTGAACCATTAAAATAATATTTTCTTTAATCTGTATTGAAATTTATTCAGTGAGCATTGTATTTTTAACAGCTAAACTGCGAAATATAAATAAATGTCCTCATGTTTATTTCAAACGGTGTACACATTTTGTCAAGTTAGGGAATTGAGGATTTTCAAAACGTCCAGTTACTTTTCCAATTCAACAAACAACCACATTCAACACATTATACCGCTTATCCCTCTGCTTGGAAAGCATCCACGTATAGATTGGTGAAGTAAACCGTAGCGTAGCAGTAGTCGAGTTATCGTCAATTACCAAACCAAACTTAATAAATCTTTTAATTAACTAGTCAATTTTTGTAACCAAGCTCGTTCCTTAAGATACACAATCATAACAACGATTCAAAGCCTGTAGCATTTGTGATATTGAGTGCATTAAGCATTCTCATTAATAAAATTATTTCCTTTAATAAATTGTCTCATTGTTAACCTATTTATGCACAAAATGAAATTATGAAAGGGTTTATGTGTTACAAGATAACTGCCATGTTAAGTAGACCTGGGGTATGGGCAATACCATAGAGGTGCGTGTTATTTAATATAATAGGATTAATAATACTATTACTGAAGTGTTACCTATTACCTGGTAATAGACTACTGAGAATTCCCTATTATTTCAGTAACGTCATCCGGACTGCTTAAACAAACGAATGAAATAATATCCCGCTGGTCAAGTATTCCATTAACAGCAAGCGTCACAAAATAGTAGTACCTTGGTTGAGAATACGTGATTGTATTTGTAACAATGACTAAACTGATAGACCGAGCGAATTAACGCCGATTTTTCTTCTATTAATGGCGAGCATCATGAAATATTATGGCACCTTGGTAACGATTACATTTCGTTGTTTGAACTTTTAGAATGAGCAACTAAAATAATGGTGATCCTGTCTTCCTATTAATGGCGGTGATTGGCTGTTATGTTCTTGAGGAAGTAAGTTATTTCACCTATTAATTTCTGGAAAACTAAGGAGCGTTCCAGGCTATTATTGCGAAGTAACGGTATTTCCCATCTCTAATTGACCGTACGCAGTGCTATGAATATCGAATAAGCAAGGACAATCGTACTATTTAAACTATCAAATTTTTTACCCTTGAATAAGGCAGTTTAATTAGTTTCTCTAAAACATAAATAATTTATTTACATTATAATACACTAAAATTTAAAACATACATTTACACGTCTTATACTTTCAAAATTTTGAAATAACTGTTACGACCAGTGATCACTGCACCAGGTCTATCAGCGTAGTTGGATGGGAAGCACTGAGATAGTTGACGTGCTGTTGTAGCTGAATTATTCGATTTTGAGAATCATGGAAGTTTTCAGAAAGCAAACAAATCTCCATTTGCAGTTTGGATCTTATCTGGAACATATTTTTGATTGAGAAGTTTTTGTTCAATGCACTTGTCTAGTCTGGATTTAGCAGCTAGTTATCGCTAAGGAAATAGGTGATCTCTAAGAAGAAACTACACTGGCTATCACAACGAAACCAAGATTAAAAGCTGGTAATCACAAAAAAAAAAATACTTTCTGTTGATTAATAAGAAACTACAACTAAACACTATTTTTACTAAGAAACTACAGTTGGCAGCTAATGATACTGATTAAATACAATTAGCCGCTGGTAATGACCAAAGAACTTTTAATCACAACTAGTCTCCAGAGCTGTTTGATGAATGCAAACCAAATAATCTGCCACAGCTCCAACTCGTCTTTAGTTGTGGGTAACCCAGACTTTCACCATAGTCATACCATCAGGTGCTTCAAATTATCCACCTTTCGATGACATCAAACAATTTTCACGTGTAAAACACAGAAGCAAAAGAAGATAATACATGGCAAAAGAGAACTTGATAGACACAACAAAAACTAGGATGAAAAGATATATTCTAAATAGGGGTCAAATGGGAATAAGTTTGGTGAAAGAGCTGTCGTGTATTGTGTCTCGAGTCTTCAAATGTGTTTTAGTATTTTGTATTCTAAAGTGAAAATCCTAAAGGTGAGTTTAAAACCCTTGACAGATATGATTATGGCTTTACAAGAGCTAAAACAAAGGACATCCACTACAAGATCATAGCAGAGCTGGGATGGCATTTTTGATGTACAAGTAAAAGTTGATAATGACTAAGAACCCCATCTTGTTCGTTAGGGTTTTTGAAAGATTCAGATAATGAAAAGACAATTCTGATGGATAATACTGGTAGCACGGAGATGTGTTTAACATACCTCGTCCCTCTCCCTGTTGGCAAAGGCAGCGGCCGCTCGGCACTGAGCCACCTCTCTCTCCATCTCAGCTATCTGAGCTTGCAGACACTTGCGGATCATCTCACTACGCTCCTTCACTCTCGCCACCTGACCAACACAAGCATTCACCAAACTGTAGTGAGTGCTATAAACTGACTTACAACTAATATGGTCAAATACCCCTCAGGGGGGGGGGTTGTCTGTCAACTATACGGGAGGCCTCTTGTAGGCTGGCAACCCTGAGTAACCATAGCCAACCCCCAGATCCCTACTCTTCTTGGTTCTGGGTTCTATGACCAGCATACTTCTTTTGCTGGATCTTCTTTCTTCTTTGCTTTCCTATTGAAGAACTCTACTTCCCTTTTCCCTTCCTTTCCATTCTTTTTCAGCCAAACCTCGACGGTGTCATGTGACTCGTGAGAAAGTGGTGAATGCCACCAGGCTCCTCAGCAGTTGTTCTTACGGAGCCTCCAGGAGTCTCCAGGAGCCTTACCTGTGAATGTGAGGCTCTGCCTGGCCTCGACTTTCAGCCTCACTTAGCTAAGGTTTCTTAAACATCTAAACCCTACCAGAACCAAACCTCAATGCAGCTTTAGAATCTGCGTCGCTCAAACTTCAGGGTTTAGCTCATTCAAAGCAAGACCCATATCTCAAAGAAGCCCCAAAGACCAGAGGAACGCCAGGCCTAACTGTTGGTCTCGATGTCGAGTCAAAGGTGGCCAAAAGGGTGCAACGGTCCTTGGCAGAAGACCTTTAAAGAAGGGGCCAGAGGTTCAACCCGTAGGTCTTATGAGGGTCAAGACACAGGTGTTTTAGCAAACACCTTCAATCTCTGGGGATCAACAATGACAACCAGGAGTGTCAATTTTGCAACCAGTCCAATGAACCTGCGAAACACACCATTCTGGATTGTGTACGCTTGGTGCTACAACAGCCCAGTTTGGTCAAAAGCAGCCTGGTGATGAACCACACACTAACATTGGGCAAAGCTCCAAACCCAATCAAGGACATGGGAAACGGCTTGCCTAAGCAAGTGGGGCATGCATAATAACCCTGGACCATGACGTATTGGTACCCTAATACAATACAATGTGAAGGAATAGGCAAACAAATACAATCAATATGGGCATTAGCTCAAAAAAAAATATATATATATATATATAGTCAGGATTGCAACCTGACAACATCAGCATTACCTGACGAGCAGACTCTTCTCGGACAGTTTCAAGCTGAGACACCATCTGCAGTAGCTCATGAGACTTGGCCTCCAGCTGATCCTTCTGTACAGCCTGGTTGGCTTCCAGTTGTAACACTACCTCCCTGTAAACATACAAATGTTACATCTGACATCTCATAGGTATATCAACTGAGACACCATCTGCAGTAGCTCATGAGACTTGGCCTCCAGCTGATCCTTCTGTACAGCCTGGTTGGCTTCCAGTTGTAACACCACCTCCCTGTAAACATACAAATGTTACATCTGACATCTCATAGGTATATCAACTGAGACACCATCTGCAGTAGCTCATGAGACTTGGCCTCCAGCTGATCCTTCTGTACAGCCTGGTTGGCTTCCAGTTGTAACACCACCTCCCTGTAAACATACAAATGTTACATCTGACATCTCATAGGTATATCAACTGAGACACCATCTGCAGTAGCTCATGAGACTTGGCCTCCAGCTGATCCTTCTGTACAGCCTGGTTGGCTTCCAGTTGTAACACCACCTCCCTGTAAACATACAAATGTTACATCTGACATCTCATAGGTATATCAACTGAGACACCATCTGCAGTAGCTCATGAGACTTGGCCTCCAGCTGATCCTTCTGTACAGCCTGGTTGGCTTCCAGTTGTAACACCACCTCCCTGTAAACATACAAATGTTACATCTGACATCTCATAGGTATATCAACTGAGACACCATCTGCAGTAGCTCATGAGACTTGGCCTCCAGCTGATCCTTCTGTACAGCCTGGTTGGCTTCCAGTTGTAACACCACCTCCTTGTAAACATACAAATGTTACATCTGACATCTCATAGGTATATCAACTGAGACACCATCTGCAGTAGCTCATGAGACTTGGCCTCCAGCTGATCCTTCTGTACAGCCTGGTTGGCTTCCAGTTGTAACACCACCTCCCTGTAAACATACAAATGTTACATCTGACAACTCATAGGTATATCAACTGAGACACCATCTGCAGTAGCTCATGAGACTTGGCCTCCAGCTGATCCTTCTGTACAGCCTGGTTGGCTTCCAGTTGTAACACTACCTCCCTGTAAACATACAAATGTTACATCTGACATCTCATAGGTATATCAACTGAGACACCATCTGCAGTAGCTCATGAGACTTGGCCTCCAGCTGATCCTTCTGTACAGCCTGGTTGGCTTCCAGTTGTAACACTACCTCCCTGTAAACATACAAATGTTACATCTGACATCTCATAGGTATATCAACTGAGACACCATCTGCAGTAGCTCATGAGACTTGGCCTCCAGCTGATCCTTCTGTACAGCCTGGTTGGCTTCCAGTTGTAACACCACCTCCCTGTAAACATACAAATGTTACATCTGACATCTCATAGGTATATCAACTGAGACACCATCTGCAGTAGCTCATGAGACTTGGCCTCCAGCTGATCCTTCTGTACAGCCTGGTTGGCTTCCAGTTGTAACACTACCTCCCTGTAAACATACAAATGTTACATCTGACATCTCATAGGTATATCAACTGAGACACCATCTGCAGTAGCTCATGAGACTTGGCCTCCAGCTGATCCTTCTGTACAGCCTGGTTGGCCTCCAGTTGTAACACCACCTCCCTGTAAACATACAAATGTTACATCTGACATCTCATAGGTATATCAACTGAGACACCATCTGCAGTAGCTCATGAGACTTGGCCTCCAGCTGATCCTTCTGTACAGCCTGGTTGGCTTCCAGTTGTAACACTACCTCCCTGTAAACATACAAATGTTACATCTGACATCTCATAGGTATATCAACTGAGACACCATCTGCAGTAGCTCATGAGACTTGGCCTCCAGCTGATCCTTCTGTACAGCCTGGTTGGCCTCCAGTTGTAACACCACCTCCCTGTAAACATACAAATGTTACATCTGACATCTCATAGGTATATCAACTGAGACACCATCTGCAGTAGCTCATGAGACTTGGCCTCCAGCTGATCCTTCTGTACAGCCTGGTTGGCTTCCAGTTGTAACACTACCTCCCTGTAAACATACAAATGTTACATCTGACAACTCATAGGTATATCAACTGAGACACCATCTGCAGTAGCTCATGAGACTTGGCCTCCAGCTGATCCTTCTGTACAGCCTGGTTGGCCTCCAGTTGTAACACCACCTCCCTGTAAACATACAAATGTTACATCTGACATCTCATAGGTATATCAACTGAGACACCATCTGCAGTAGCTCATGAGACTTGGCCTCCAGCTGATCCTTCTGTACAGCCTGGTTGGCTTCCAGTTGTAACACTACCTCCCTGTAAACATACAAATGTTACATCTGACAACTCATAGGTATATCAACTGAGACACCATCTGCAGTAGCTCATGAGACTTGGCCTCCAGCTGATCCTTCTGTACAGCCTGGTTGGCTTCCAGTTGTAACACTACCTCCCTGTAAACATACAAATGTTACATCTGACAACTCATAGGTATATCAACTGAGACACCATCTGCAGTAGCTCATGAGACTTGGCCTCCAGCTGATCCTTCTGTACAGCCTGGTTGGCTTCCAGTTGTAACACCACCTCCCTGTAAACATACAAATGTTACATCTGACATCTCATAGGTATATCAACTGAGACACCATCTGCAGTAGCTCATGAGACTTGGCCTCCAGCTGATCCTTCTGTACAGCCTGGTTGGCTTCCAGTTGTAACACCACCTCCCTGTAAACATACAAATGTTACATCTGACATCTCATAGGTATATCAACTGAGACACCATCTGCAGTAGCTCATGAGACTTGGCCTCCAGCTGATCCTTCTGTACAGCCTGGTTGGCTTCCAGTTGTAACACCACCTCCCTGTAAACATACAAATGTTACATCTGACAACTCATAGGTATATCAACTGAGACACCATCTGCAGTAGCTCATGAGACTTGGCCTCCAGCTGATCCTTCTGTACAGCCTGGTTGGCTTCCAGTTGTAACACTACCTCCCTGTAAACATACAAATGTTACATCTGACATCTCATAGGTATATCAACTGAGACACCATCTGCAGTAGCTCATGAGACTTGGCCTCCAGCTGATCCTTCTGTACAGCCTGGTTGGCTTCCAGTTGTAACACCACCTCCCTGTAAACATACAAATGTTACATCTGACATCTCATAGGTATATCAACTGAGACACCATCTGCAGTAGCTCATGAGACTTGGCCTCCAGCTGATCCTTCTGTACAGCCTGGTTGGCTTCCAGTTGTAACACCACCTCCCTGTAAACATACAAATGTTACATCTGACATCTCATAGGTATATCAACTGAGACACCATCTGCAGTAGCTCATGAGACTTGGCCTCCAGCTGATCCTTCTGTACAGCCTGGTTGGCCTCCAGTTGTAACACTACCTCCCTGTAAACATACAAATGTTACATATCATAGGTACATCAAATAAAGACCCCATATTGTTTCTGTAGACTCAAAGTTTTGGTAAGATAAAAATGTCCTCTTTAACTCACATATCAAAGATTAATAATTCTCAAGAACAGAACAGATTCTGAATAGCAATCTGCAAGTTTATAAGGTAAAATGCTCTAGAGATCGAGAATTTAATCACATGAATGAAGTTTTCTCGATAACAAAGAAGAAGTAGGAAGAAAGCAGGCTGGTAGCAGCAAGGAAAATTTTCTTCTCTGTATCAAAATTGCTAAGCTCCAAAAAACTTTCAAGAACAACCAAACTAAGAATGTACCACTCAATAATACTACCAGTTCTCCTTAATGCAAAAGAAAATTTAGTCCTCAGCAAAGATTCTGACAAAAAATTTATAGTTTTTGAAAACGGGAGTTTTAAGGAAAATATATGGCCAAATAAATGGAAATGGTGAATGGAGAATCCGAAGAAATCTATAACTAAGAACTCTGTACAAACATCCGGACAATAACCATCATTAAAAGTAGAAGATTGAGATGGGCAGGCTAATATGTGAGAATACCCGAAAATGCTCTTTTAAAGAAGTATTTGAGGGGAGGCCAGCAGGCACCAGACCACGAGGAAATCCAAGATTTAGATTGAAAAATACCTGAGAAGAATAGGAGTTACCTGGGAGCAAGCCGAGGAACGGGAAGAGTGGAAACACATTGTTGCGGAGCCTGAAAACCTACTTTGGCTTGAATGGCCTTACCGCGGTAAGGTAAGGTAAGGTAACTCATATAATATATATTTTAGCTAAAGTGACTGAATGATATTATCATTCAGTTACTTTAGCTAAAATTAAGATGTTTATCTCCTCCCCAACTACATTTTATACTCACTTGAGACGGGTATTTTCACTTTCCAATTCAGTCATTCTTTTCTCGGCCACTTCAAGACTGTTTTTCAGATTTTCTTGTAACTCCCCATGGCCTTCTATAGCAGTAATTTTATCCTTCATGGATTCCATCTGAAACACTTCTTATTGTAATAGCATGTAATGTAAGCAAAGGTGATTTACCATATTTGTTTATTTTAAAATATACCATAGCTTATATCGTTAGCTGGAATACTGTTGGAAAAATAAAATCACGTCATGAAACCAATCAAAAAACTTGATTGAACCGTGAATGCTTTAGTTTAATGAATGATTGACTGATATTGCATTAAGTACCTGGCCACGAGCATCCTCCAGTTGTTGTGACATGTCTGCTATGGTCTCCAGCGCTATAGTGTGCATCTGCTCCGTCTCTTTAAGCTTCTGCTGGGTCATCTTCAGCAGATCCTTGATGGGTATTAGCTCCTCCAGCTGTTCTTGCATTTCTTGCTGGAACCAGAAATCAACATCACAAACTTTAAGCGGTTGACACAAACTATTCATTTATCACTCATGAGGTTGGAAATGCTCTTTGAATGTCACATAATATTTTGGGCGTATCGTACAACTAGCCTGATTGGGTTTTTGGTATCAATCATCAATCCTGGTACAAGTAATAAGATCTTGTGCCTTTGACTTGAGCTAATTAGTTAGTTTTACCTTGAATACACCCATATTAGTTAGTAACATTCAAACATTCTTGCCACCTAGACTGATTGTATGAATATATGATAGGTTACATACCTTTACTCCTCTTCAGTCTGACTAAATATAAGACTGAAGATGGACAAACGTACACAACCCATCCTTGCGAAATTTAGCGCCAAACTGGTTCGTGCAATTAATGTGTCAAGTATAAATAGAGTTTGATATGCCACTGTGAATTATAATTTACATAATCTAAAATTAAAGATAACTAAGGGAGTGTAATGCATAAATACCTTTACTCGCTGAATTTCCACGGCAATCTGGTCAGCGCATGCCTTTTCTTTGAATTCATTTTCCTTCTTCAATTCTTCCGCAATTTGGAGTGTTCTCATATACTGGAAAAATATTTCAACTTAAATTGTGTTAATCTAAAGATGTGTACTTAGGTTTTTTTTACTAAAAGAAAGTTTTATGTTCAATTTCAAGCTGTATAGTTGTGAGCTGTTATTGTTATCATTTGTGGGTGGTAGCTAAGTTGTGTGCTGTAGTGAGAAGTGGGTTCAACACAATGTCCACTCACCTTATTCCTGTACTCGTCCAGTTGAGTCGCTTGATCCTCGATCAGTGATCTCATCTCCTCCATTTCCTCCTGTGAAGACTTGAACATCTGCTTGGCAATACTGGCTTGCTGCTCCAAATCCACGATTTGGTCTTTGAAAGATTGGATCTAGAGCAAAAGTTCCAAATTATACTTCAGTGGACAATTCGCCGTGTTCAAGATAGAGATGTCATAAATGTTGATAGTAAGTAAAGAGTGCAACGAACTTCTTCCACAGATAATTATGCAATAGGTTAAATGCACATTGAATGTAACGATTGCTGTGAAAACTATTGGTTAAAGTTTGAAACATGGAGCTTAAAATTATTTGTAGCTAATTTCACCAAAATGCTGGAGTCATTAAGCTGGAATCCTGCATGAACATCCCAGTAAAATGGCTTATATTTATAAAACCTTAGGTCTGTTCCCGAGTATTTTATCCATGGATGTAATCCCATACATGAGCAGTGGCTATGCGTATTATGTGAGCTGTCTTTATGATTTGAACTAATGTCCTACGGCTGTGTAATATTTTTGTAGTTTTTACTTACCCCCTCCTACACATACTTAAGTTAAGAAACTGACTTTTTACATTATTTCTAAACTGTTAGTTGCAATGAAAAAACTAAATGGTCTGTAAGTTTTGAAAAAAACAAATATATAAGAAAGATTTGGTGTGCCTCGCTGGACTTTAGTATCGTAGTAACTCAAACACTTTTAAGGGAAAGCAGACCAAACCCCTTAAATTTTGTGGATTTGCCTGGAATGAACACCGTCCAAAATCCAAGACGCTAACCACTAAGCAAGTAGTTACACAACCATTATCGAGCTACTTATGTTCTACATTCTAACTACTAGCGATTTACTTAAGTAAATACCTGTGAGAACTAAATCACAATAATCGTGTTACACTACAACTTTGTCAGATACGCAAGACATGTTGATTCTCACCTGATTCTTCTCCACCATCAGCGTGCTGTTGTCTTCCACCTCCTTCTGATGCATCATCTCCAGCTCCTGATGCAGGATTGTTATCTCGTCCAACTCCTTCCTCGACTTTTCCAACTCCACTCTCAAAGCAGCCACTTCTGCCACTTTGTTTTTGAAATCACTGTGCAGCCTTTGGTATTGCTCTCTTAGGTCTTTGAATTTAACATCTTTGTCTGATTCAAAAACAACGTCCTTCTCTTTGTCTTCATCGGTTTGCGTTCCAACTTGTGGTAGCTATAATGTGAAGATAAATTTTAATAGTTGAATTAGCCTCTATTGAGATTACAATAATGGTATAACTGATCAAAATAACAAGTTTTATCTTGTCCTACTAAAATTTAATTTGCCTATTAATATTTAACATCAAAATTCATTTACGGCTATTAAAAACCTTGGTATAATTTGTGTATAGTTTTCACAAATGATATTATGTACAAAACCAACACTTTAACATTGTGAATCAACAATAAAGTTCATTAAAAACTTGTGTAAGAGATTGAGTTTATGTAAAACTAGACTCCAATGGCTAGTATGTACACAATAAAAGTCCTATTTAACTGATATCCAGAAGCAGTGCTCGATTTGTTAAAATTGAGGTGCAGTAACTGTCACCTATTTAATATGATTAGTACCTATTAATGTACCTATTTATGTCAATATTTTCATCTTTCCGAAAGAGAGGTACCGGAACTCCGTTCCACCGTGTTCCCCCTCAAATCGAGCACTGTACAGAAGTATATACAGAAGTTCTTTATAGAGTGCAGTAGTGAGAAATCATAATTCAATTTCTCATCAATATACATCACTGTTACATTATGAGACTAAGCACCTGGGCTTACATTTTCTCAAGTTAACTCTAACCTGTTCTGAAAAATTCCTCACACCTCTTGGCTTTCCATAAAAATAACAACAGTACTTTACGACCTTTGGATAAATTCCTGACATTATATTGGCATTATTTCTAACCTACAATTTCTATAGCACATCTCTTATAAATCAACTGCAACTTCACTGTCCCTTCAATACCTACTAAATTAAGATTTACAATGCAGGCAAGTTAATAGTCCTCACCATCAATTTGCACGTTTTCCTAGGACTTGTTGGATAGCCCAGGTTCATCTTCTCCCTGTGAATGTTGTCCAGATCGTTGGCAATCGTCACAATGTCCCCACCCATCTTCATCAGCTCTTGTTCCTGCAGAAGAAAATCAAGCTCTAATTGCTATGGCGGTGCAACTAGGCTAACAAGGTTAACATCCAAAGTTAAATAATGGTATGTGGAAAGTCAGTCTTCAATTCAAAATTAATTCAATTCAAAACAATAACAAATTTTAATTAAAGGCAAAAAAATGTTTATAAGAATGTTCGTTTCTAAGAATTTTAAACTTCTAACACATAGTATTTGCCTTTAATTTGTTTTAATTCCTCAAGTTAACCATTGATGCAATGTACAATATCCCGCTAAGTATCATTTCTTTACACAAACCAAGGTCTGATTCTAATCAAAAAGTAACTCCAAGAACTAAGGCAAAAAATGGTAGGTTAAAAATTCTTTAATATGATAATTAACTTGATATTCCTCCATTTAAAGGAACTAAGTTTATCTGTCAAAATGATAAATACATTTTATTCTTTATTTTTACAGAAAAACTTAGTTACCGTACTCTCAATGCCTATTGTAAAAACAATCAATATATTTAGTACGGTTATTCTAGCTAGCTATTAGAGGGGGATTCTCAAAATAGATGCTCCACATTATGTTAAGCTAGGCCTATTTATTTTAAACTTCTCTAAATTGTATAAATATCACCAATAGATTTTCATATTGGCGCAGTATAAATTTATAATGTTTTTTTAGCTTATTAATCTTCCATCTCAAAAATCATTTATGAAACGTAAAGTTAATATATTTTTTAACAGTTACAATATAATAGCACAACTTGAGATTTAAGTTTCCTCCTAACCCCTATTTCTTTAAGTTAAAGTAATTAAGTACTTCCAGACTGAAGTGAGCTTTTTTACTAAATGTAATTGGAAATCAATTTTTTTAAACACACAGCACTAGTAGAACTATCAATTATTGAAACTTTTCAACCAATATGTTTTTGAAAAATTAAAGTAGGCTACAACTGCTAAGACTGGAATACAATTTTTTCCACCTTAGTGATGAAGGATTAAGTATAATCACAGATTTGTTTTCTTTGATAGATGACTGTGTCAAAATAGAGAAACACACTTTATTTTCCAATGTTTTGGCCTATATATGTTGTGCTATATTTGATGTGATTTGACCTCCTTTCACAGTTGATGTATCAAGTTAACAACTGTCCGGAAGTCAAAATCTCCCTGTAGATGACACTCTACAATACAACAGAAGTGTTTTGTCTATTTAGACACAGTCATCGTCTGAAGACCACAAGTCTACAATGTGTCCGTGCAAGTCTAATATCTACCAAATGAAAGATGGTACGTCTTAACAAATCATTTACTGGTGTCAGTGTACAAAGTGTTGTTGGTGTTACCGTCTCCTCTTACATGGACATACCAAGTCCTGCATGTTGGCTTCCGCTGGATGTCCCTTGTACTGCATGTAAAGATCCCTCTTGCACATCTTCACGCCTGGCACACTCGGCTACAACAAAGATACAATCATTATATTCATGTGTAAGTAGGATCGTCACAAAAAAACTGGGAAACTGGTGTTCCACTCTCGTAAAGGTAATGCTGATACATAGTCCTCCCTGACACTTGAAGGGTAGCAATTGCTACATTGGGGGTAAAGAGAGATAGAAAATGCAGGGTGAGAGGGAGGAGTGAAAGAAGTGACGGTAAGATAGGGAGGTGAGAATGAATGCTCTGCCCCGGATGTTCGCCGTTCCTAGAAGGATAGGTATAGCACACTACAACTGTTGGACCTGGAGGACTGGTCATCTGAGCTTGACTAAAAGCATTATCCAATGGAACGCTGACTTACAACACCCAAACAAAAAACAACGATATCAAAAGTAGAGTTAAGCAATTCCAGAGTAGATATTCATCAATTCATGTTGATGAAGGATTTAACAGAACACCTCTAAATCTCTAGAAATGTACCTTTTAATAAAGAGTTTTCTTTAAATGACACTTTTCAAAATCTTGGGTTTGAATCTACTGTAATATTCTTATTCTTGGTCACTCTAATTTATATAAAATAAGATAGCTTACCGTTTAAAAGTATTTTTTTAAAGCAGGATATGAAAGAGTCCCCTCTGGCGTAAGAAACACAAATAATAATTGCACAAACATGTTGTTTTTGTATAAGAATGGCTGCACAGTTTCTGTGTTTTATGTGGCAAAGAGATTCTATCGTAAAATAATCCTCAATCTAAATTTAGTTAATTGAATCCTCCAAGGCCATACTTAGATCTTTAAACACTAAATCAGCCAGTCACAAGCTACTCTGCTGTCAAGATAAAGAGCTAAGTTGTTCACCTGCGGAGGAGGCTGCACTCTGAGCCGTTGCTGCAACTCCTGGTTCTCCGCCGTCACTCTGCGGTTATCCATCTCCAGCACCATCATCCTCTGTCTCATACTGTCCAGAGTCTCCTGCATGTCTAGCAGTTGCTGCTGCTGCTGATGCCTTCAGAGCACAACAAATACAGATTAAAAAACAACCTCCCCATGATGCATATCACAGATATCCTAAGGTGTTTTCAACTGCAACAGCCACATTGTTATTAAGTTTAAGTTTTCAGTTTACAAAGTTTTAGAACTTCACGACCAGAAAAATATGTATACATCTGCTATTGCGGCCGGTGTCAAAGTCTTCGCCTACTGAGACTTTACTTCACAGCAAGCGTGAAACAACTGGCGATGAATTTCATCTGACAATGTTATGAATGCCAAGACCCACATTAGAACATTGAGATGTTTAAAGAGAAACTCTTTGCACCTGTTTTTTTTTTTTTTTTTTTTAGGAAATATTTCAGTTTACTCAGAATTGTTGATTAAGCTGGAATGTCCGATGTTGATGTGTAGCCAATGTGGTTGCAAGGATGCACTTAGCAAAGTACATAAACAGTTGTTATTTTCAGATGGGCCTTAGCTTAAAAAAATAATTCTTTTCTCCTTATTGTTGATATAAATTTGAAAGCTACTTTCAATTTGACAACTATGGTACTCTGCAATTAGAATTTTTGGCTCTAATAAATTGTGAAATATGTCTACTGGATATAAATCATGATTCAAAAATGTTTGAGTTCAGAACAGTTACTTTCAGGGTTCTTAAAGTATCTTATCATTCTCATCATACCAAAGCTGCCTTGTAAATTGTTAATCAATGTGGGATTTATTGTTACCAACAAAAGTTGTCATAATCTCAAGGTTTTTAATCACAGCTTACCATTTTAAAAATTGGATTCAACTCGACTGTGTTTACTAAAATCATAAAGATTTAAAAAACTAAAACCTAGAAAATGGAATTCTAAATAACCTTATTCTCTGAACTTCTGCGTTTTCTGCAGCTAGTCTCTGTTGGTTCATAAAACATTCATTCAGCTTTTCAATCTGAAAAAAAAAAATGAAAAGGATGGAAATATTAAACAAAAATGCATCAAATAGTTATATTATTTGATTATAAAATACACAACCTACAATTTTACTTAATAAAACTGTCAAGATTGCTAACTTTACTGATACCAAAACTTCATATTCTCAGGCTGGGGTTATTTCTTAATGAATTACAGAACCTAAACACTTTGAATTGGACATTTTTCTACTATTTCCTCAAATTTCATGTGTGCATTGAAAAATTGTTTAAAAAAAATGTGTTTATCCTTGTTCTTAGACAAATTCATAAACATTATTACAAAAGGTAAAATAAACATATCTATGGCTCAAAAAGTTAGGCAAACCCATCTAATTTTATTAAAAAAATTGTTCCTTTTTTGACAGGTTTTTTACTTGTTAAAAGTGTAGATATTAAATCATGACATCAGGTTCTTGTAAAGCGTGAATTGCCTTCACCTATGGTGATATTTATTTTCAAAGTGTTCTAGAAGTTTACAGGCATGACGTGTGCATGTGACGCTAAGGGCCGAATAATTGCTCCTTCGTCCCCTCTTCTGCACAAGGGGATTTTTCTCTTCATTGTGCCCCCAAACCTAAATACCTCTTGTGCCACATTTAAAAGAGGCCCTGGAAGTGTACAACGTCCCACAAAAGACTTTCACTCACACATTCGCCAGGTTTAGCCTTATCACTCCAGGGCTCCAGGTCCTTCTTCCGCAGAGGTTCACACACGATGATCCTGGGTACGTTGTCTCCTGTGTCTGCTCCACACACCACTAGCTTGGGCAACTTGTCCTCAATGTCTTTGAAAGGCACCACCTCCCCACTGGCCGGTACCTTGGGCTTCTCGGGCTCAGCCACCTGGCAGGAAAGGAGAAGGTAAGAATATAACAATGCATTATAACAACTATTAATAGAAGTATACTTCCCCTCCCCATCTAAAAGCTGTAGCCATAAAAAAAGGAAAACAGATGTAGCTGACCACCAACAGATTACTGTAAATTTATGTTGATTACTGATTTATGTCATATATTCAAACTTTTTAACCAATCCAATTTAAAATTATGTCTTATTGTAGACTTGTTATGTCCCACCTTCACATCCTAGGACGCTAGGTTCTAGCCCGGAACTGTTTTACTTTTACACATTACTTCAGGCTAGTCCTCAAGGCATTATTACATAGAAAAAATCCATTGGTGATTGGCGGGATTTCAACCCAGGACCTCAGGCTTTGGAGCCCGGACCTTTACCACTAGATCAGCTTGCTCCCCTCCTAATGCTGACTATAGCTTATTTTGTTACTGATTGTTCCATCTACATGAAATATATCTACTCTTCAGTATACGGAGTAATCAATTTACCTTTATTTACTGCATATATTCCCAGCACAAAAAGTTAGTTAGATTATGTATCAAAATACTTCTCAAATTCAAAAGTTTACCTGATATTGGTACATTTCTTGTGGTCCAGAGAGTTGTCTTAAGGGACTCAAACTTTTCCACTACCCTGGTTTTTGACACCAAAAGCTTGTCAACTACTCCTTAACGTTTAATTGTTAATCATTTAAATGTTGCCTTTTACTGATTACATTTTCACAACAAATCTGTCAACATTTACCATACCTTCTCCTTAGGCTTGCTAGGCATTGGAGGCCCAGACATCTTCATGTCCAGTTGAGACGTAGACACGTCAGCCATCCCCATCAGCTTCTCCAGGTTCCGAGTCATCTCTTCAAACTCTCCCAGCTTCTCTAGGAACTGAGCGTGGTAGGTCTTCAAGTTGGCGGTGTCTTCGTCAGTGGGATTTTTTTTCTAACGGCAAATCGATCAATTGATGAGCAAACAAAAAAATGTTCAAATAGTTTGTGCATTAACATTAAACCCAAATTACTGATGAAATAATAAATCTGCATAAAAATCTGAGCTTCACAATAGTCATTTATAAACAATTTTAAGATTGAAAAATTATTAAATGGATACCAATTGGAAAAGAACATAGGCCTACTGTATATTTATTTGATTTTAATAACTAAAACATTTAGTTATAGCGAATGTAACTACAAACTATGTTCCCAGGTAAAAAGTGAAGATTTTAAAAATGAACAAGGTAACATCTAAAAGTTGCCATGAATTAGAGCTCTGGCGTTCTTAAAATTTTCGTTATACATTCTTCAAATAGAAGATAATACCAGTAGTTTTAAAATTGTATAGACACACCTACAAAACACACTAAAATTTTGACACAATTTATGCAGCTATATTACTCTGAATAAGGATAATCTAAGGATAATCCGCTACAGGATAATCTATAGTCCTCGCCACCCTAAGTTGAGGCAGCCAAAGGCCTCACTAGACATACGTTGTGCGGCCTTGGGCTGCCTCAACTTAGGGTGGCGAGGACTATAGTTTTGTCACTCACCTCTTTATAAGCCTTGACTTTAGCCTGCAGATCCCCAATCAGTTTCGCCACTGTTGCTCTCTTCTCCTTGATTTCTCTGATCCTCTCTCGGACAAACGACTGCGTCTCTAACAGACTGCCTTTGCTGTCAAACAGCGGTTTAACTTCAGGCTTGTCGCTCTTCTGCTAATGAAAAATATGATAAAAATATTGTTAGATTGGTTTTAAATAAGGTTATGGATAAGTTATTTAAGTTTTAGAATCTACGAGTGCTTAGATCATTGTAGATAAATTTTGAAGCTTTTGGCAGACTTATCACTAGGCTATATAGGTTCATAATAAATTTTTTCTTTGTTTGAAGTACCGGGTTTTGGTAAAATTCCCAAAAAATCCCAGTCAAGACTTCCAGGTTCCCTCCACCATTGCTATTGTAGCCACTGATGCTTCTGATATCTTATATTGTTTATTCCATTTAAACTTCTATTGGTCATAAGCACAATTTAAAAAATAAGGTAGAGAAAAAAAAACTAAGGTGGGAAACCAACGTAGCACATAAGTAATGAAACTGTGTGCCACTTATTTATGATTCCCTAATATTAACCAAGAAGTTTTATTACCTTTTGTTTCTTTTCAATCTTATCTGCAGTATCATCAGTTTTTGGAGGGGATTTATCTGAAACAATAAGAATGATGTATTTTGCCATACATTCAATGCTCAGGTCAGAGATAAACTGTTTGTGTAAAATACAATGTGGTAGGTATCTAAGTAGCAAAGCAATAGAAAACATTCTTGAATTTTCCTTTACTTTGATCCATAAAACCATTTACTGGCGTTTGGCTGTTTACTTACGGGTCACCCTGTATTGTGCTAGAGGGAAAACTACCTTTTTAGTCCACCGGCCAACACATAATTCTTGGTTTTCTTTTACAACTCTTGCAGTGTACCGGTAATTCTGGGCCTTCTTAGAGATTATAATTTGCATACGTGTGCATTAAGTGTTGTTACGTTATTTTACAAAAGTGTCTGCCTTTGTTGCAACCGATTGGTTACTTTGTAAATACAATCCAGATGACAATACTGTTTTGACAAATACTTAATATGTTACAAAGAAACTATATTAAGTATGGTACAAGTGGTACAACAAGAATACTTTGATTACAGGAAGACAGCAGCTGCGTCCTGTTTTGAATAATCAAAAAGCTACTAACTTCACCCAGCAACCTTTTAGTTGCTATGCAAGTATGAGAGCACCAACCACTCGGCTAAACAGCTGCTTAAGGTGTGATTTTTCATAGTCTCCACCAGCTATTTTCTAATTTACCTTTAACTGAATCCTTTTTGGCTTCAGTCACAATTTCTTTCTTTGGTGGTTGTTTTTCTTCCTTAGGCGGTTGATTTTCTTCCTTAGGTGGTTGTTTTTCTTCCTTAGGTGGTTGTTCTTCCTTAGGTGGTTGTTCTTCCTTAGGTGGTTGTTTTTCTTCCTTTTCATCCTGATTTACTTCTTGTACCGGTGTTTCTTCTGCAGCTTTTTGTCCTTCGTCCTCTTTAGGTGGTTCCTCTTCCTTTACTTTTTGCTCTTCTTCTTTTACACCTTGGTCTTCTTTTACTCCAGCATCCGGTTTTTCTTCTGTAACAACAATGTTGTGTATTTAAGATTTGTAGAAACGAAAATCATAAACTCTATCATTCCTAGGCAGAATCAACATTTTGAAAACATATTGTTACAAATCAAAGTTGTGCAATATATAGTTTGTTGCCTATTAAACATTAAACTGAGATTTTGTCTAGAAAATGATCAACTAGAGCTTGCTGCTATACCAATTTAGTTAAATTAGCTCTCTGAATTTCTTCATCTCTACAGAGATTATTGTGTTGATGAAAAATGACATGCAATGATTTAGTAACTTATATATTGTTTTTTCTGCCAAAAATAGGTAAAAATTTATAAACAAATCAAATAGACAAAAGAGTTACACTTAGCACACAAAAACTGGCAGAACTGAGAAAACCATTATAATCCTGCTTTATAGTAGCATTTATCTATGGTATACTATGTGAATTTCTTATGTATTTATTCAACTAAGTCGCAAAACTCACCAGCTTTTTCAACCGGCTCTATTGGTTCTTCTCCTGGGACCTAGAAACGTTGGAAAAACTGTTAAATTTTTTTTTATCATTACAGCGTTATTTTTTTACATAAAACTCAATAGGTGTGATATCAAACCTGACAGTTTCATTCTATACAATACATGACAAGCCTAATTATTCTCCCTGTAATCTGTGACATTTTTAGGTAATTTTTATAAAAAACTCATGGTTTGGAAATTGTGTATGTTATGACCAATATGAATAATAATAGGGAATAGATTGTTTCATTTAGAGCTGGCAAAAGAGGAAGTGTATTGTGCATAAGAACTTTTCCTCACTTCTGTTGCTTTTGTAACTTGTACAGCAATCTCGATAATTACTTGCCGTTGGACTAATTTAATAATTCTAGATGTGTACGAATCAGTGTTTTGGTAGCTTTTCCCACAATCCCTAACATACATCATCATAATTGATAATAATATTTACCTGTGGGCTACTCAATCTTAAGTACCGGTACAAGTAATAGTTGTTTTCACCCTTAGTATCGTTTTGATTATCTCTAGTTGAGTTTTGATTATAAAATCACATACTGTATCATGGAGATGAACGTACATCACTAACAAATAAGTGAACCCGCTTTTATTTCAATCTATATTATGTAAGATGGAACCTGCCTCTCCTGACACTTCGTCTAACTGGGACTGGCACGGGCCTATAAGACGTTGGCCAGTTCCCAGGTAGTTGGAGGGTCCCATCTACAGGCAGGTTCCATCATACAAAGTAGCCGGTAGCCTTTAAGTTACCTGTAATGGAGCAGGCTCTACTTGGTCTGCCATGGTTACAAGGTTGACAATCGAGGAGCTCAATTTATGTTATGTCTGGAAATTTAAATAGAGTACATTATTAGTTAGACTACATTTTTATAAATAGGTACCCAATTAAATATTGGCAAATTCAGACGCAATTACAATTAACACAATAGCATTTGATGAATAAATGCAAAAAGGTCTGTTTTTGCGTGCAATATAAGCTTACAGTAGTCTACATTACATAAAAGGCTTAACTGTATCTTCTATAAGAGTATGGCCAAGTGAAAGTTTCACCTTCTTCATCCAAGTTAGACATTGTACAAATTTGAAAATAAACACTAGAACTTCTAGGTTTAGGCCTAACTTATTTTCTGGCGAACGGTTTGGATCTACGCGCTTTTAGGCCTGAGAGATACTTGCACCACATTTCAACCCTTCCTTGAGGTGGAACTTTCCACTTACATGCGCTCCAAAAAACCTTAAACCTCTCGAGTTCCATGGCCCAGACCCACACCGGGCCCATTTACTAAAGCGGTCCTGGGTAATAAGTTATACTACTGAAGTTATACTACTAATGTTATATTGCATTTTTTTGCCTTATCTATCAAAATTAGGTTTTTTAGGCTATTAGGCCTACTCGGTCCTATTTATAAGAATGTTGCAGGTTTTGAAGTTTTAGATGCAATTAAATGGGTTGTAGGTTATGAGAAAATGATAGATACAGAATTAAATACTTACAATAGCATATTTTGGTTAGACTGAATAAAATTGTATCCCTAAATACTCTAGGCCTATATAACTTAAATGATATAGCCTAGGCCTATAAGGCAAAATTTGCCTTATAATCCTTGAACTTACCAAAATTATAAATATAAAGAATAAGCTATTTCGTGTAAATAGTTAGGCCTAAGTTGTACTTGTATCTTTGACTGTGAATTGACATCACTTTGATTTGACCATCATTATGGGATAAATTTAGCACACATAAGTTAATTACTTAGCAGAATTGATAAAAAAACAATCTAGAGATAATTTAAGTTAAATTTATGAAACTAGGCCTACGTTTTTGTTCAGATCATGTTTAACTTATTTTACAAACCTAAAACAAAAATTACAAGACCTAGTTGGTTGGCACAAAATGTTCTGAAACAATCAAAATACAAAATTATGGTAGGTACCCACAAAAAGTTGAGGTTGGAAGAAAGAGTTTGATAATAAATAATAATGGTTTAGTATAACATAGATATGCATATAAATTTACATACCTGTAAATTTTAAACTGTGCAGTTAAATTTGTTTGTGTTATTCCTTACCCAAATGCATATCCCCAGGGGAAGGATAATGTTTATTTACACTTCATTCAACTGTGATAGTGATTTTGAATCGGGCTCATCTGACAATCCCATTGTTGAGGTTTTTGCTGTGTCTACATCTGTTGAATAAACTGCAAAGACTTACAAAAATTATTCTAATTTCAAGCACATTTTATCAGCAATGATTTTGATCAATTATAATCAATGGTGCCTGCAAACGATGCTAGAAATCGTGTGTGAATTTCAACTGGTAAAAGAAACGAATAAAATATAACTTAAGTTGGATTTTTTTTAGCTAGAAGCGGTCAAGGTGTGGTGGGATATCTTTGAAGATGAACCTTTTTGGCAGTAGTGCGATCATGTGTTCACACCTGTCAAATCTTGAGGTTAAATCAAAACAACAAACTGGCATATATTCGTGGAATTGAAAAATTAGTTAAAATATACTTTAAACTTGCTCTAGATTACTTTTATAAAAGTACTTTGGCAATTTAGAGAATATTTACTGTTAAAGAGATGAGATTCCTAAGAGACTTTCTATTTTGTTGACCCGGGACCCGGGTCAACAAATTCAATGTACGATACTTATAACGAAGGTATATATATCAACATGTATTCTACACGTATGTAAAGTTAACGATTAAAAAATATCGATCTATTTTACTAACAAAAAACCGCCGTAAATAACTAATTTTGATTTTGTTGACTCTATGGCGGTTTTTGTTAATAAAATAGATAAATATTTTTTAATCATCACCAAATTTTACATACGTGTAGAATACATGTTGACATGCCTTCGTTCCAAGTTTCAAGTAAATATACATTACAAGTGGTTGTTTTGCTAAATGTATTGAATTTGTTGACCCGGGTCAACAAAATTACAGCCACCGTTAAAAGGCGGCTGTGAACAAAATAGGGAGTCCCGATTCCTAATTCCAAATTAACTACCGGTAATGAATAAGCTGTTATTTAATCATTATTGTATCCAAATTTTAATTGTTGTTTGATTTGAAAATAGTTTTATAATTATTAGCAAATAGGTATTAAAATATTGAATTTTCTTGCATTTAATTCCAGTCATTATATTAATAGAATAATGTGGTTGCTGAGACTGGGATACAAAATAGCTGTTGGAACAAACTGTTAATGATGTGTTGCTAAAGCAATGTCTTTAAGACAGCTGTTGTTTTGTTTACTTTTGGTTACTATGGAAATACTTTGGATTGTTAACTGATAACTGAAAGAATACTAGAAAGAAAGTTAAACCCATTATTTAACTTATTTTACTTTATTAACTCAAACTTTGGGAAACTTTTTAAAAGCAGGTAAATCTGTAAACCACAATATATAACTTTAACTAACTGATCCACGGATATTCACAATATGATTTACGTTTAACTTCCCGCTTCCCGCTTCGAGCAAAAAAATCCAACTGTAACCAAAAAAACCAAAATAAACATAACCTTACTTCTTCTAATCTAACCTCAATCAAAGTAGTTTATAAATAAACATTTTTAATAATAAATATGCGTGATCGTTGATAAGTCTGGACCAAATATTTATTGACATTCAAAGTGATTTTTTTCTTTTTGTGAGAGTTTTAAGTTTCAAACGAAAAATGGATTCATCAGATGAAGATATACCTTCTTTGATTCCGGCTGAATTCAAACCTGTTCCAGTTACTATTATTACTGGATATCTAGGAGCGGGGAAAACTACCCTTTTAAATTACATCCTTAAAGAACAACACAACAAAAAAATAGCTGTCATTCTGAATGAATTTGGTGAAGGTAAGTTTTACTAACATAGGCTAGGCCTAGGCCTAGTTTAGAACAATCAAGACTAGGCCTACAATTTTAACGCGTAGGTCACTCATTGACAATTTGCTTAGTTTAAATGTCTTTAGCTTCATTCTTTTTGGAACATCAAATTTAACCTTTGTTACCTTTTCTATTGATGTTCGATGTCTTTTACATTGACGTTCAATGTTTCTACATCGATGTTCGATGTTTTATTGATAGTAGGTTAGGCCTACCGATGTTTTTGTTTAGCCTACATCGATGTTTTTGTAATGTTTTGGTGTGTATTGGGATAGGTATGATGTTTTGCATGAACTTAGTTAATGGAGAGTACAAAAAGCAGACGAAGAACTGAATAAAACACAGATGTTTTAGTCCCAAAATCATGGATGTTTTCGCAACGATGTCATCGGTACATTGATGGTTGGAACGTCGATGTTACCATTGATGGATAACCAATCGATGCTCATCCCTAACCCTTACCTACCTAAATTAGGGCTATTGCAATGAAGTAACCTAATAAGCCTCTTCAAGAAGAGTAACTTTTGCATTATGACCTATGATATTGGATAAGTTACATACAACAGTATGTAAAATAGTTAGGTTGAACCAGTTAACAGTCAATTGTCTGGGTAGGCCTACTGGAGCTTAGAGGTTATAATAGCCAACAGTAGTGCTTGTTTTCAACCTGAAGGTCGCTGGTTTGTTGACTTAATGCTAGATTATGTCCAAACTTTCTATGCAGGCAATGTCAATGGGTTGTCATAGTTAGCCAGGAAAAGGGACTCAACTATCCTCTCGATAGTAACCCTGTCCATGACGGAAGGTGGAGAGCGGGTTCCAAATTTCTTGGTTACAAGTTTGTAGTGAGTTACTTACTAACAATAGACCAAGATTTACACTGTTTCCTTACAAATACGTTGTAAAGCAAATTCCAATAGTGCAGAAACACTAATAAGCCTACCCAGACAGAGATAGATACTTTTATAAAGCTTAAGTTCAAATTTAATCAATTACCTACAGGCCTACCAAGTTTAGAGCAAAGCTGTCTTCACTTTGGCAACTTAATTTGACATCCATTTAATATGAGATTGACTAAATCATTTTGTAAACTTTCAGGAAGCGCTCTTGAAAAAAGCGTGTCCATAACCCAAGAAGGAGAGCTATTTGAAGAATGGCTGGAATTGAGAAACGGTTGTCTTTGCTGTTCAGTCAAGTAGGTTTTAGTTTTTGAATCAACATCTTGTAGTCAATGCCTTAGTACAGTGGTTTGTGATTTGTTTGCTTTAGAAGTTTTTACAAAAATCGATGTACAGTAGAGTCCCGCAAGTCAGTATTAAGCAATCAGTCATAGTACAACAAATCCTTGGTACGACTTGCGAATGATTTGACTTGAGCTGGCTTGAGTCCATGTTGAACCAAAACTCAAAAAATCATTAATTTTCTGAGCCAGGTGATGGCTGAGTTTGCGGGACTCTCCTGTATTATTAAATTTTGAACAAAATAAAGCTGCACTTACATCAGAGTTTGGTAGGCTTTAAAATGTTTGAGCGTTTGTCGGCCTCTGGTTTAGCTTATTCAACGACACAATCACTAACCAAAGATTTGACCATTTCTGTAAATAGTTCAGGTTAGTGTAAGAAAGGACCATGTAGCCTTACTTTGCCAGGTGAAATAAAGAATTTTGTATTTCATTAAATATAACTTTCTGTAAGTTACAGGAGGCTACCTCAAAATGTCACAACCTATCATTAAGTCAAACACCAAAAATTTCCCTCCGAAAATTACCTGGACAACAGCTGTAATTAAATTCCAGCTACATACAGTTTGAAAGCTAAACAAACAATTGATTATCGGTAACTATTTTGTAATAAAATGTACTATGACGTAAACAAAATACCCTCCTAAACGTCAGTTTTATTGTTTTTTCAGGGACAACGGAGTCAAAGCCATTGAAAATCTTATGGCAAAGCGAGGAAAGTTTGACTACATTCTACTAGAAACCACAGGATTGGCTGATCCCGGTAAGTAGGCCTGGTTTTCCATAGCATAAAATATATCATTAGTTACAATATTTCTTAATATAGATGAGTTTTCCAGGAAGTGGTTCTGCTGAAAGACCAAAATGAGAGGAAACATACTAACACATGTGAATTGGTGTCTATTTCTAAACTGTAGCCTAGTTATTGTGCCAGACAGAGGTCCTAACACATTTGTCTTTGAAACCAATTTAGATCACAGAATAACTACCGAGCCCAATCAAGGCACTTACGTCGCTAACACTGTGAAATATTTCCTCTTTTAAATGGCTCCTCTGTTACAGTTTTTAGTTTAAATTAGATGTCTGCAATGGCTGATTGTGTATTTCAACTTATCAAAGTTTTGTAACCATGACTAACTGTGGATGTTCTTCCAGGCCCAATTGCGACCATGTTTTGGCTGGATCAAGACCTTGGAAGTGACCTATACCTTGATGGTAAGTTGTAATTTTTGGGATCTCTTTCCTTTAGGTGAGTCGGTGACTCAGTCGGTAGTGTTAAGGACTTTGAGCCCTGGTCAGTGATTTTGTAGGTTCGGATCCTGGTATCTGCCACTACTTTTTATTAGTAGGCCTACAATTCTCCCTTGTACTTTACCGGCGTACCCCTTGCTTTGCTGAATACGTTCCACGCACAGGTCCGTAGCCTATGTGGACGGGCAAATGCAAGGTGAAGAAGCTGTTAATCTAAAAAAATAAGATTTTTGTAATTTCCTGTAAACACAGTGTTAATAAAACTTTGTGAATGTCATTCCAAAAAAGATATTTTCTTGCACGATAAGCATTTTTCACACTTAATGCTAGCCTCTTTGACAATGTTTATTCAATTTTTCTTGCCTACTGTATAAAAAATGCTTTATCATTGTAAAACAGTTGAAGAGAATTCAAACGTCAAGTAAGTAGTATAAATAAGATTTTTATTGTAAGTAATAGCCTAGATTTTAAAAGTCACACTAGTTACTAGTTACTAGTTACTAGTTTATTGTAGCCTACTTATTAACATTTTAAAAATAAATAAAATCTGATTTTCCTTAGTCTTCAAAATTGAGTGTATTAAATACCATAGACCTATCTCCTCAACTCCTACAACTAAGAGTGCTAACTTTATCTTTTCTATTGTAGGAATCATCACAGTGATCGACTGTAAAAACGGCTTGTCGGTAAGTTTGTTTCTTTTTTTACTAATTTGTTTTTTTGTTTAAAAAAAACGATGTTATACTATTACAATTTACAAATACATAATATATATATGTGTGTTAAGTTAGACTGAAAGTTTTTTTTGCCAGTAGCAAATAAAACTTTTTTTGTCATCAATTGTAGCATCATGTACCACTGTAATGTAATCTATCATCATACAAATCTAAATGATGACATTAATTCCGTGACCAGGACAAAAGCTAAATTACGTTCGGATCAAGTTAAGAAAATCTAACAGAAATGAGAATGATTCCTCATAAATTTCAATTTTTTAATAGCACACATTTTCTCGTATGTGCTGCTGTTCTTTAATGTGCATAACCTATATTTATAACAATGATCAGAAACAAGTCAAACATTGAATATGTTGCCCCAATTGTTGTAGATTGGATAAATAAACTCGAAATTATTTTGAACAGGAGAACCTGGAGGCAAGATGTTCCTTCTTAAAAATTAAATGTTTTGGTTTTGTTGATTTGCTAGCTCACTTTGGTAGCATTACAGACTACGATTCTAAGTTAGTAATGGTATGGTTTGCGTCTTGTTGCTGCCACTGTTAACCAGTTGGCTAAAAGTCCTGTATTTTCCCACCGTTTGCTTTGCTTAATGCGTTCATTGCTCAGGCAAGAAGGCTCATTTGGACAAGCCAATGCAGAGTTAAAAAAGGCAGACAAAAAATTCTTGTAGACATAGTTTCTTTGTCTGAAAATTTGTACCCCAAAGTCTACAGTTTGTATCTCTGAATCTGAATTCAACTCAAAGAAATACACTATTTCAATTTTATATGAAAAAAGTTTGTGTGATGTACATTTTGCTGATACCATACATAGGAACTCTATGTATCAATGTTACCGGACCTCATGCGGATACTCAAAAATCCAAATAATTGGATTTTTAAAGGAAAAAAAAACTGAAACTGGCTTTAGGCAGATGACTCATCGCTAACAAAACGACACTACAATAGACTTGCCCCATGATGGACATAATTGTTACACATTAAACTATATAACAAACTACCGCAAACCCAACTAAAAAACCCCACCCATGAACTATTTTCGAATTTGTAATTTATTTCTTCTTGAGAGGATTTAGATAATTTATCCAGATGATTACAGAGTGTGGTTAGTTTGGTTTGAGTTCTAAGGAATCAGCTGATTGTCACTCTTGTTTGCAATTAAGAAAGTCAATCATTCAATACAGGTGGTTTTACACTCGTTAAGTCGTCAGCCAATAATAGACTTGTCTGTTAAATACAGTGCTTAGTTTTTATGAGACCATAATTAATATTAATCTCATGTTGAAATTTTGCTTCCATCAACCTTAAATTACTCCCAGGAAATCATAGCACTTTACTCACCATTTCCTCACAAGTATGATTGCTATTCCAATTACCATTGTTTTGAATCACCTTTATAGGCAATTCTCACAGTAAATTATCTTTTCGCAAATCACCCTGTTGTGTTTAGTTGTGAAATACACCCAATAAATGTTCTTCTAGCTCATTTGTTATGTGAGAAGGTCACCATTACCTTTAATCATAGTTAAATATTCTGAAATCGAAATAATTGCAGAACATTAATAAACTTGATTTAATTCCACAAATCCTGGTTCTCGGTCTTTGTACACGTGTGTTAGGTAAAAGTATCAGACTTAACAATACCCAAATTGACCGTCTCCTTGTGATTTACATGCATTCTAATAGAAAATTGTGATAAAGTAATACACAAATTAACAATTACAGTGTTTATTTCCTATTACTAAGTATAAATTATATATCAGTTTGATCTTTTGATAATATATACAATTTTTACAATCACCAGTAAAATACTAACACCACAGTTTAATCTCAAAATCATTTTTAATAAATGTTTTATGTGATTGAAAATTTTTGTTTCCTTAGATGATGTTTGTGTTTCATCTCTTAAACTCCATCAAGCACGGTGACACACTCACAACTTATTTTGAATTGTTTGAATATTGTTCTATCGGTGTTAAATTCTTTGTTGCTTATGGATGACTAACCAACGTTCAGCTTGCTGATTGTCTTGTTAATTTGTTTCCATCTTGAATTAGTTGAATATTCTATTGATTTCATTCAATCAATATTGAGTTTGTTGAATGTTCCGTTGATGCCAAACAGCTGCCCATGCACGTTTGTGTTGTCTTTCGGCCTTTTAGCTTCATCTGTTCTTCTCTTATCGTCTTCAATGATAAAATCTCTCATGGACTCGATTGTCTTCTGCCATGCGGCTGAAAATAATTGACCAACGATTATTAAAGGCTCTTAACAAAACAGTTGACTATTACTAACTCTACACCTTAAAAAAGTCCTGGTAGGTGATGGCAGGGTAGGTACTGGCAGGGTTATTACTGGTTATGTTAATACTAAAATCAATAAAATTTAATTTATGATATGCTTTGTTACAAACAAATACTTACTAAGAATTCAAATTATTTAGCTTCAGTGTTATGTTACGAAAGATTAGTGTTTATTGAATACAAATCATGATTAAAATTCTAGAATGGCGGCCAACATCTCGTAATGCTCTCATTGACTGCTGCCTCCAATTTATCTCATGCTCAGTTGTCCTGGTCCTTGGTCATTGGGGTAGTAAATAGTTCTGGCTAATGAAACAGCTGATCTTAGTCAGTAACAAAGCTACACAGATCACTCAATCCATTCTACACGTTCATTCTTATTCAGGTTACACATCTAGGTGGCTTTGTCCACCTCACAAGAAATTATAAATGACTATTATGGGGTTTTTTAGGTTATGTTAGCTTAAAAACAAAACCTGAATTTTAAAATTTTGCTACAAATGAAGCTATACTCTGTTTGATGAAACTTGTCTCCTGACCATCCATCTGCCAAGGGTTTAAGTCCAGTCCCAGAACATATGGTCAGGGGACAGGTTCCATCATACAGACTATAGGTGTGATGAGTTACCTGTTTGTTCCACAATGCTAGGTCCATCTCCACCGTAGTCCTTGGGTAGCATCTTCTGGGGAATGTATTTGTAGAGGCTGGTGTGATCTCCAGATAGGACGTGAATCTAAAAAAAATTCCATAACTAAGTGTTATTTTGTAACGACCCAAAACCCATCAAGGGGTAAAAACCCGATTTTAAAAAGTTTCATCTCAAGTATTATAATTTTCTACGTTCGGGGTAAGCCGCGCCCGCGTTGTCAGCGGCATCGTAGGGGCAAGGGTCCTACGTCATCGTAGAGGGGATGACGCTAGTTACCTACCCCGCCGCCAGGGGCGATGGCGAAGAAGGACCAGAAGAGCGGACCTGATGATGGAGTCGTCCACCCGCTACCGAACCGTCAGTACGCTTGCTGTTTGGAGACAATCCAACAGTCTATAACCTCCTAAATTCTGGTCAATTAAAGATTTCCCCCGTTCCTGGTAGAATCATAAGTCATCAGGTTAGTGTGCTACCGAATTTATTTTGTTTAATCTCATTTTTAAAGAAGTTTTATTATTTTTATTTTACTGTGCCGCAGTCGCGCGCACCCCGCACGCTTTTTCACGTACGAGCACACTACCTTTTGTCTTAAACCAGCTTCGGAAATCAGTTAAGTTGCCGGAACGGTTTACGTACGACTTACCTCGTTACCCCGGACCGTCCTACGTAAATTTGGTTTAAAAACCCCGTATCGACTCTGGTGATCGACCGAGTCTAATTTTCCCGACAAGTTTACTTTGGTGATTACCAAGTATAACGACCGAGTCTCGTTTTATATGAGTTAAGTTTCTAGTTTATTAGGTTATTCGCATTCATCATAGGTTATTCAAAATTCTAAATTTAACTTGACATATTTTTCGAGTGGCTATGATGAGCACTTGCTAAAGGTAAGCTTAACATTGTAAGCATTATTGTTGTAATTAATATTCTGAGCCAATAAACTCGAAACGATAATTAATTAACGAAAACGTTAGAGTCCTGGACTATCTCATAGTAGGCTAAGCTATCTGGACAAATTTAAGGTGTGACAGAATTTCAGGTGAGACGTCAATTACGTACTTTAAAATATAATTTTGTCTCTCAACCCGAAATTTCGTCATATCAAATGGCGATCCGAACAGGGACTATTGAATGTTAAATATATTTTTATGGCGCCCGAAGGCATAGTCGATAATTAATTGTTTTGGCTCAGAATTTAATAAATATTACACATACGAACATTACCATAATCAGTGTTGTGTACGAGACGTTACAGTGGAATATTGGTTGTATACCGTAGAACTGGGTACGATTAAACGTCAGTACTGTTGTTTAACGTACTACGTTTGTGTAATAGAATTACAGGATATTTATTGGAATTTAATTGAATTCGAACATAACCGTTTATACTTCGCACTTATTTATACCCGTGTTTATAGATTTCCTCTGATAATTTATTGTTATTCTTTTAAAATTATTTAAGTAGGAAATAGTTAACACTGCCTTCCGATTTAATTCAGAGTATTCTGTAAGAATTGTTCTGCATCAAGAAGGCTAGTCGACCTGTTAGTTCACTAGTGTTGCGCTTGCCTATTGTTCTCTGTATGAATGGGCAAGAGATAAGAGCGGCCCGATCAGCTGTTTGATAACGGTTTGTTATTGGAGTTTCCCCGTAGTTCTTTCAATTCTAGTGAGCTTATTTCTGCATAATATTTACATCCATTGCATTGCATAATATTTATAACGCAACTGAAACGCGTTAAATATTTGGGATCAGAACTGTTTTATAATAATATTGTTGATTAACATATTGTTATACTTCTGGTTGTCCTAATATTTAACAGCAATTAGAATACCCCGGTTTTATTGTATTGTAATACAATATTGTTACACACAGGGAATAACATTGTTTAATATAATAACACAGGATTATTATATTTTGGATTGAGCCTAATTACGACGGTCTACGTACACGTTAGTGATATAATAATATTGTTGGTTAACATATTATTGTA